TGGACTGATCCGAAATCAAGATGGCTGACAGGCAGCCATTTTGGATTTTGAGAGTAATACAGCACAAGCATATTGTCCATTATCCACCTGTAACTGACTGCTATCTAATAAATCTTTGGGATCTTTTTCAAATGATATTTGCTAATATGTGCTTAATAAAATATCTTGTGCTATCATTGAGTACATTCAATGAAGACCAGTTCATGAACATTAACAACACCTGTAACAAACAAAAAATAAATAAACAAATCTTCAAGAACTGAAATCAGATCCTCAAATGGTGGGCGCCAAGATCCCACTGGGATCTCTTGTTTCTATCTGGTCTTGGTCTCTTTAGATACTTCGCACCTTAACACCTTTGGCAAATCTTGCTATCAGTTCCACTGATAGTCCCTCTTTTATGAGTAGAGATTTTAGCCAATTATTGTGCTGTGAATCAAGACTCCTAGGCAATTTGTCGATTTTGGCACTGTCTGTGAACCTTGTATGGCAACTTGAAATGATGTACTTGTCATTCATTTTGATACAATTACTAAATTGTTTTGAATAATGGTACACAATATTACTTGATGATATCACTCAACTAATAGATGTATATTGTTATACCTCTCACAACTGAATGTTACTGAAAGTCCACTATGCTCGGTTGATGCTCATGCATGTCCTTTGTGCAAGGTATCTATTTTGGACTCACTGTTTCAACAACTACTAGTGAATTTTTGGTAAACACTTGCTTTGTCAGAGTACTGTTTATAAAATAATCATTCTCTTCTTCGTTGCAATTTAGTAACATTTCTCGAGCCTTAAAATGACAATTTACCGGTTTTCAATGTTTCTGAACTTTTAATGAGCCAAGTAATTTGTTAAAGTGTTAGATGCAATAAAATAGCTCTTTTCTTTCAAGAACTTTTCTTATTTTAGAAACTATTGACAAATGTCATTTTTTCAAGTTCGACATTGTTGATTTTTATCAATCAGCAATCAAAACTGACATCGAATGACTATGTACACCGTTGATTTAATAATTTGTTTCTAGGAAATACTGACCCTTGTCGAACCCCAACAAAATCAGCTAATCTATTGACTTTTAAATCACACCTTTGCCGTTCTCGATTTCCCTGAAATTTGCACCAGATGTTCTTCTCATAAAGAACCAAAAAGATTTTAGTACACTCAAACTGGAAGTACAAGCTGCAGTTCTTGGAAAAATGTTTATTGCTGAAAAAGTGTTAAAAAAATCATAACCACAACACTGTCAACATTATTTAAATTGTTTTTACACAAATGTAGATTGTCTTTCAAATAAATTAGATGAGATGAAATCAAGGATAAATAGTTTACACAACACAGACATCATAGGAATAACAGAAATATACCCAAAAAATTTTAGGTATCTGCCAAATAAAGCTGAACTAAGAATTGAAGGATACGAACTTTTTATAAATGAAAACTCAGGAAATCGTCACAGAGGAGTTGGGCTATACATAAAATCAGATTATCATGGAGTGGAAGTTGACATGGGAAATACATTTAAGGAAAGTATCTGGGTAAAGATAAAACTCACCGGAAATGATTGTCTTTTGGTAGGATGTATTTATAGGAGCCCAAACTCAGATGAAGAAAACACAAAGAAATTACTGAAACAAATAGATACAGTAGCTTCAAAGAAAGAGTATAGTCACTTATTAGTTATAGGTGATTTTAATTTGCCGAAAATAGACTGGAATTCATGGTCTATTGATAATAATGATAAGATCAGCGAAAACTTTATAGAATGTCTACGGGATAATTAACTTTACCAACATACAACAGATTTTACAAGAGCCAGAAGAGGTAACGAGCCAAGCATCTTAGACTTAATCATAACAAATGAAGAGGAAATGGTTAAGGAAATCCACTATAAAAGCCCGATTGGAAATAGTGACCACCTGGTTTTGATGTTCAAATTTCACTGTAGTAAGCCCCCTTCTGTGGATAAAACCCAGCGTTTAAATTACAGTAAAGGCGACTATGAAAAGATGAGAAATGATGTACCTGGAGATTGGAATGGATTACTCACTAGAGGCACTATCGAAGAAATGTATAACACTTTTGCAGGGATTATTGAGGAAAGTGCCAACAGCTGTATACCCAAATATAAGTCCATAACTTACCCAGTACCCGGAAAATTGAATCCTCCATTGAATAAGGACATTTTGAAATTAATCAATAGAAAGCATAGGACATGGCAAAGATACATGGAAACCAAATGTGAGAGCAAGTACAGAGAATATGCTAAAGCCAGAAACCAAGTGAAGTGGGAGCTAAGAAAAACCAGAAGAAATATGGAAAAAAAACATAGCAGAAGATATAAAGAAACACCCAAAACGTTTCTGGAAGTATGTCAATTCAAAAAGGAAAATAAAAACAGGAGTTTCTGAATTGAAGGGACTAAACGAAAATGATAATCAGATGGCAGTTACAGACGGCGAGAAAGCCGAAGTCCTTGCCAGATTTTTTAGTAGTGTTTTTACCAAGGAACCACCGGGAAACGTGCCTGAATTTGAGAGCAGGAATTTAACTTACCCTTTCAAGGAAATCGTCTGCAATCAGAATGTTGTGGAAAAATTACTAGGTAATCTAAATACTAATAAGTCACAGGGACCAGATAAAATGCATCCTAAAATTCTGAAAGAGATAAGGAATAATATAAGTTCACCTTTAGCAGATATCTTCAATAAGTCATTAACAGAGGGAAAACTACCACAGGCTTGGAAAGAGGCAAACATAACGGCCATTTATAAAAAAGGATCAAAGTCTGACCCAGGAAATTACAGACCTGTAAGTCTGACAAGTGTGGTGGTTAAGTTACTGGAAAAACTAGTGAGAGATAGTATTGTTGAGCACATGGACAAAAATAATCTTCTGAGCCCCAAACAGTTTGGTTTTGTGTCTGGGAGGTCAACTCAACTGCAGTTGCTAACAGTACTGGAAGAATGGACAGAGATAATAGATAAGGGCGGGGAGTTGGATGTCATTTACATGGACTTCATGAAGGCGTTCGACAAAGTGCCACATCAACGCTTACTGAAGAAATTGTCAGGATACGGTATAAGTCCCCAAGTTGTTAACTGGATACAAGACTTCTTAAGTAATAGATGCCAACGAGTAATTGTCAATGGCGAATCCTCTAAAACATACCCAGTACTGAGTGGTATCCCGCAAGGAAGCGTATTGGGTCCCATATTATTTGTTGTATATATCAACGATCTACCTGAAATACCCGAATCTCGATCGCCACTCTTTGCTGATGATACCAAGTTATATAGACAAGTAAACAACGAACATGATATCGAAATACTCCAAAAGGATTTAGATAATCTTCAAAACTGGTCCAACAAATGGCTACTGAAATTCCACCCTAGCAAATGTAAAATTCTTTCAATTAAGGCAACTCAAAAACGAATTTATTATATGGAAGGATCTGAAGGAGAAAAAATTCAGCTGGAGCACGTTAGCAAAGAAAAGGACATTGGTGTCACCATAGATGAGGATTTAAGCTTCCGAGCACACATACAGTCAATGGTTAACAAAGCAAACAGTATAGTAGGACTAATTAGAAGATCTTTCTCTTACCTTGACGAGTCAATGTTTAAAATGCTGTTTACATCTCTAGTGCGACCCCACCTGGAGTATGCCGCCAGTGTATGGAGCCCGTCAAAATTAAAAGATATAGAACTTATTGAAAACGTACAGAGAAGGGCCACAAAACTGCTTCCTGGATTTAAAAATCTCTCATACCCAGAACGGCTGGAAAAACTAAATCTACCAACTCTTCAACACCGAAGGACCAGAGGAGATATGATAAACTTTTTAAGACAGTAAACAATATATACGATAGTAGGGTAACAAGAAACTTTTTTGAAATGGAAAATATAAGCAGAACTAGAGGTCATAACAAGAAAATATTCAAAAAACGATGTCGTCTTGATATTAGAAAGCACTTTTTCAGTTACCGAGTTGTGGATTTGTGGAATAGTTTACCACAAACAGTAATAATACATAATTGTACATTAATTAACTAATATAAGCCATTAACACTGAAATTACTTATTATGCAATATGTAAATATGTGATATGGACATAGAGGCTTTAAGCCTGCGTCCATTATTTATGCTAATAAATGCTAATAAATAATCATACGCTGTGGTTTCAGATGGAAAACTGAACCCTGTCATACTCCTATGGTTACAACACTAAATGAGTCGTAGCACACGCCCTATGAACCTTTTGAATTTTTTAATCATATATCATGGGTTTCCACTAAAGCTGCCACAAATTTTATTTAAGTTGATGCGTGAGCAAAATTCCAATGTTTTTTAAAGAGATCCTTTTAGTAATAGTGTAGGAAATGGAGCATGGAGAACTGTTTTTTCTTAATGTACGCCAAAGGTCAATATGTAGGTCAGAATGACCTACTTTTGATATTCGATGCATCTCTTGCCCAAGGTAGATTCATACCTCAAGTAGAAAGTTCCACCGACAAGTCATGTAGATGTAACCCTGACAATCGTTTTCTGTGATGTAGGTCAAAGGTGGAAAAGTAGGACAGTGACTTATTTTTTATAAAATACTCACCGCCTGAAGAAGGTTGGCCTTTGCCCCAAATATGAAATAAAAGTGACAAGTAGTTAAGCTAATGAACCCTGGGCATTTTTTCGTTTGAAATAGGTCAAAGGTCAAAATGTAGGTCAGTGTAATTCAATTTTGATACAAAACACACCGCCTCACCGAGGGGAAGCCATACCCTCAATTTGAAGTTCAAGTCACTAACAGTGTGAGAGAAAGCGCCCGGTCAAGATAACGAAGGACGGATAGACAATGCGAAGCAATATCACCTCGATAGGGAATTAATAACAGTCATAAAAGGACATTATGTAAAACAAGAAGGTGCAAAATTGAACAGCAGGACACTCCAATTTCAGTAAATCTGCAAAGCTCAAAATCTTGTATTTGCTGATTCTTATTTACAATAATTTGATATCCTTTGGCTGGCGACAAATCGGCACAAGATCTGATCCAGACAGCCAGTGCTCGATGTTGCCATAGAGACGCTGGTACGAAGATGCGTTGTGTACACGACGACAGAGTTCACAGTAAGGATGTACAATTCCATCATCCATGCAATATCTTTTTTTGTATTGGAAAAAAGTAGAAAATAATTCTTCATTTGTTGCCACAGAAACAAGATGCTGGGAAAGTGTTACTGGGGATGTAAAACTTGACGTGTCTATAAAAGAACCGACAGGGCCGTACATTTCATAGTTAACATGGCCCCTCACAACTGGTATGACATTAGATAATTTGTAAATTTTGAAAAACTTTTCTGTCACATAATCACGACAAAGATTACTTTCTAATGAGAGATAAAAGTTGTATGCATTATCAAGACGTTCTAAACAGCTTGCGTCACTTCCTTGTCGGTCACAGATGTGTGAACCACATTTACCATATATGTCTATGTCTATATACGTCTGTAATAGTCTCCCAAACTCTTCACGTTTACTCTGGGTGTGACAGTTACTTACAAACCAAGCTGCTGTTTTCTTATTCCTCGGCTTAATTTTTTTCTGAATCCGATTATTGGACGTTGAATTTCGGAATATTCCGTACGGAAACAGAATATCTGAATCACGTCTGTATGTCATCGTCCAGTTGAATACATTGTACCAGTTGTTAAATGAAAGCTTGTGATTCACTGGCGGCTCCATGCTAAAAAATACCCAGATTTGGCCTCGAGGTTTCTCTGGAGCTCGCGTTAACCACAGGTATGGAGAATGGAATATCACAACATCAGCGTTCGCCGGAATATACTCTCCTTCTGTTATTTCACATTTCTGTTGGCAGTTCTGGAATGAATTTGGACTAACCCACACCGGCTTTTCCCAGAAATGTATGATTTTGGCTTCTGGATATTTAGGGTGATATTTGATCTCGGGGAGATTGATATCAATACTGCGCAGAAACCATATGAACATCAGGCCAAGCACTAGAAGAAATGGACCAAACTGGAATCTGGATAAAAACGAAAGGGCACTATTTACTGTTTACATTTATTATGTCATTAGAATAGTTTATTACAATTTATGAAATACGTGAAAATTAAACATTTTCTTTTGTTGCTTACATATAACTGGAAACAAGGCGTTGGTATATTTTAAACATGCATATGATAAAAACAACAAGGAAATACCAACATGCCAACATAATCATAATCCAAATTCAAATTTAGTGCAAAGTGCAAAAATTGATCGCTTACTATACAAGAGGCGTTTATTTTTCCAAGTAAACGTGTACTCAGAGAGTTGAGTATGCAAAGTTAAAATATGTCGTTTACTCAAAGAACTGACCGCCTATAGCACGTGTTCATTGTTTATGTCTCTCGCCTGCTGTTTATGTTACGCGATCATCGTTCAAAACTTAAGAGCACCGTTTGGGTTACGTGCTGATCGCGTACGTCTATAGTGTATTGTTCTCTTGACTTGTCTTATTAAATGATTTAAATGAATGTGGTCTGATGTATAAAGAATTCTCAATTTCGACAATGATTAAGACTGATTGTTAAGCAGATATTACTCAATTAATTTTCACAGAAATGGAATAGTGATATTTTTTAATTCTTCGATATTATTTTGTTTGAAATTATAAAAAATGATTGCTGATATAATGAATATAATACTCTGATATATTATTTAAAAAGATACTCTGATATATTAAATGATAATGCATTAAAGAATCTGAATTTGTAATAAGAACAAGTAACCATTAACTCATAGTGGAAAATGAATTTCATTACTGATTATAATGACCATTTTTTCACTACTGAAAGAAGATTGTACATTGATAAAATCCATTACACTATTCCAAATATTATTCAGTTTACAGAGTATCACGTTATCACTGTTTTTTAATAGATACACAGCACATCACCTGAATACGTGCGACTGGTAACTATATACCTTTATAGTCAGGGCACCTAAATTGGCACTGTGCCCTTAAAAACAAACCTGATATATTATAGGTAAAGCAATGTTGATAAAAATAACAGATATATTTTCCCGCCGCTATACATGCCATGATTAATCAATTACCAACAGATTCACTGAACAACATTTGTGTAACGATTGACCGATTTCGGCTGTAAATGAGAGCCAATGCACACCTCAATGTGTAATACACAAAAGTGCACCAGGGCAACCAACAGGCAACCCATGAGTACCAAACACGTAATGTGTATTGTGTATATTATATTTTGCTACTGAATGTCATTTATATTTTGTTACATTTGTTATCTATTGTTTTCTATATCTGTAGTATTCTATATGAACGGGAAATACAATCAGGGCTGTGAAAAATCAATAATGGTTGTTTACTAGTACATTATACCACGACGTTGCTATTTCTTTATAAACCCTAGAGCTATACTAGACATTGTTCTACAAACATGTAATTAATATATAATGTTGCATTACACGATAGCAGATACGTGACAAAAATAGAATATTTGAAACGTTTTAAAGAACCTTTCGTTTGTACCACCTTCTTACCTCATACTGGGTATCTGTCGTGTGCACTCATATTAAATATGCCAGTGAGTCAGCCGGTTCGGCAACCAGGACGTACAGGAAACACAGATGACTGATCTTAGTGGAGCATGCATATTTGATATGGTAAGCGTCATATGAAAAATGAAATGAAAGAGTGATCCTTTCCTGATAAAACTGTTCACGAGAAATTAATATGGGGAGGACTCAGTAGATATTTCCGAGTAATGAATATGTACATGTATTTTCTTTACAATCTTTCATGTAAACAAAACTAAAACAGATGTTTTCAAGCTAACTAATATTGTCTGACTAATCCGAAGTATATATTTTAGTCCCAATCCTGCTTAAGTTCATGATATGTTATACTACATGTATGTTTTAAATTAAACCTAAGTTAACATTTATTTTACCACTAATTATAATCCCGTCTACGGTATTTAATCTTATGATCCCGACTACAATAGTTTATCTAAACTAATACACAGCTCTGCTTTGTTCTTTTATATCTATTTCCTGAATGAGTTTGAAGAGACGGGACAATATGATACCTAATAGAGCACGATAAAATACCTGTATTTACATACAGTTCTATGTTCGTACTTTGAAAAATATCTCACATACAGAAAAAATTACTACTTTGTAGGGCTATTTGTATATACTGATCAGGCGTGAACATGTCCTGATATTGCTTTCCAACACCTTATTGTTAAGTTTTCATTTGATTTAAGTTTGTTTACATTGACAAAAATGCGATACACACTGTCACCGGATATGATCATAACGGGCCGAGGTACTTTCGGAAGTATTCTCCATCAAGGTAATAATTTTTGCTTGGTTTCATAATCATACATGAGATACACAAATGAATAACACATATTGGTACAAATTGAAAATAAATACGGTAGTGGTAAACGATGACGTAAACTACTTCATACAAATGTTTTCGTCCTTCCAGGACTCGTTAGTGATATCAGGGACCTAAATTTTAAACCTGAAAACCAGATAATGTATTATTTCTTTCTTTGTTATTAATATGATAAGAATAGTGCATTCTTAGAATAACAATAATATTCATATCAAATCTATGTCATATTCGATTCCTTACTAGCAACATATTGAAGAAGAGCGAATCAATTGATTTTGTTTTACGATTAATGACGGTGAAACTTGATATTCAATCAAATAATATTGAAGTATATACCATTTGTGTAGAGACCTTTATCTAACGTTTGTAAATCTTTGAGATAACAGGTGGTAGTGTAACGAACGGGCTTCCGTACGTTCGGATTGTTTGCATGCATTTTTGCACACGGCCTCGCGCACCTGCTCTGGCGCACGTGACGAGTGTCAGGACCTTGTTACTTTTTCTAGCCGACCCCAGAGGTAAGGATGTTATTTTGAGTTAAGATACATTATCTGCTAATATCTCTTATACTGCCGCCCATCCTTCCATGATCACATAATGTAAGGTTAAAATGAACACCTATTGTTGTATTTCCGGGTATATTTTTCCATTTTAGGTATTAATTTAGTGATATTTTGACTAAGTCATTTCGGGTATCGTTCGCGGGTGTCGGCCATGTGCCGTTGTAGCATGGTGTCATAGCACTGTAACAGTGGCTTGAAGTTGTTACCTGGTCGACATAGAGAGACGTCAGTGAGGTTTTTACGGGTGGTAGACCCGTTTTTCACGTGTAGGACGTGGTTAAGGTGTCAGGGAACGAGAACTTTACAGCATGTTCGCGAGACCGGCACGTGGTCTAGTAACGAAACCCGACTATAAGATTTAGGGGATTAGCTTAATGGTTATTTCTCCCACTGTTGGCCAGTTCTTGTTTTGTATTGTTATTTGTGTATTTGTATCTTGTTACGTGTAATAAATTGTTGAACTTTATTTCAATGCTCATCCGGTTTCCAGTCTTCATTGCCATGTTATCGCTGTATACCCTGCTGCTGTGTTTACATTATCTGTCTGTTGATCCTGATGTGTCCCATAAATTGTCAATCCACTATTTTTGATAATGGCTGAATATAACTCCCCTCTAACCTCTTGTGAAGGGACACATCAGTATATTGGGGAATTGTATTGCATTGAATCTATAAACAACACTACATATCACTCTTATATTCATAAACTAGTACTGCTTCTTTGTAATGATGTACAACTTAATCCCGGTCCTAATCTTGACATTGTAATATCTCACCTCAATGTCAGATCTCTTAGAAACAAACTTGATATTATTGAGGCTGAATTACATGACAGTGATATATTATGCCTAACAGAAACACATCTTACCCCTAATATTCTTGATTCAGAGATCACACTTAATTCATTCTCCCACAATATACATAGACTTGATAGAAGTACAGGACCAGGAGGAGGAGTCATTATTTACTGTAAAAATACTATACATAGTAAGAGAAGGTTAGATCTTGAAAGCAATGATGTAGAAATGATTTGGATTGACATTTCTTCTAATAACAAAAGAGTATTGTTAGGTTGTATCTATAGGCCAGAATCTACTGTAGATTATTGGGATAAGTTAGATCACGTTCTAAAATATACTACTTGTAATACAGGTCTTGATATTATAATTACAGATGATATTAATGCAAATATGCTAAATATACCTGAGAATCACCACTTAAGTAGACTCTTAGTAAAGTATAATTTTGTAAGTTTAATTAATGAACCAACACGGATTACTGAGACAACTGCTACTGCTATTGATATATTGTTCACTAACAACATAAGTTTAATTAGAAATACTTTGATGAATACTTCAATATGCAGTGACCATTGTATTGTTAACTTCTCTTGTTGTAATTCTGTATTCAAAAATAAATTATATATGAAGAAAATACTAGTTTATGATAGAGCAGATTTTGATAAAATGAATAGAGCGATTGATAGTGTTGATTGGGAATTACTGATAGAAAATCATAATTGTGAGAAATTTAATAGTATTTTAACAGAAACCATTATCAAACAAACAAAATTATGTGTACCATGTAAACTTATAACTGTCCGACCTAATGATAAACCCTGGATGAGAAATAATATCAAACTCAAAATTAGACAGAGAAATAGAATACATGCAAAAGCTAAATCTAGTAATTTTGCTACAGACTGGGCTATCTTTAGACAAATTAGAAATGAGGTAGTGGATCTTGTTAGGGAAGCTAAAAAACATTTTATCAAATTAGATGAATCTCTCCAAGACAATTCTATTCCTGCTAACAAGTGGTGGAAAATTACTAAGTCAATAATGAACTTTAATAATGTTTCTACCTCTTTACCACCTCTATATATAAATGATCAGTACGTGCATCATCCATTTAATCAGGCTGAGTGTCTAAATAATTATTTCATTTCGATTTCAACAACATCTGAAAATCTGGATCCTCTACCTCAACCTGATAGTAACTTCCCTTTTAAACTAGAAAATATTACCATTTCTGAGCAGGACATTAAAGATCAACTTCTCTTATTTAATGACAGAAAACCTCCTGGTCCTGACAATATGATACCTAAAATAATAAAAAAGATTAACCCCCTCATTAGTACGCCCTCTTACTCTTCTATGTAATAAAACCTTTGAAACAGGTACTATACCAGCATCTTGGAAATCAGCTGATGTTAATGCTATTTATAAAGGGAAAATCTCTGAAAATGATGTATCTAATTATAGGCCCATATCTATCACATCTTGTTTTAGTAAAATTATTGAAAACGTAGTTTTTAAATATATGTTTAATTACCTAAAAGATTGTGAAGTAATTACTAAGCATCAATCAGGCTTTTTACCAAAAGACTCTACTGTAAATCAATTATTGGAAATATATGAAACTATTATAAGTAATTTGGATAAAAATAATGAAATTACATTTGTATTTTGTGATGTTAGCAAAGCGTTCGATAGAGTTTGGCATGAAGGCCTAATTTTAAAATTAGAATCATATGGTATAAGTGGTAATGTTTTGAATTGGTTTAAAAACTATTTGTCTGATAGGAAGCAAAGGGTACTAACTGAGGGTTTTCATTCAACATTAAAATATGTTAAAGCTGGTGTCCCTCAAGACTCGGTTCTCGGTCCATTCTTATTTTCGGTTTATATTAATGACATAACTGACTGCATCACAAGCAGGTTTAAGCTGTTTGCTGATGATACATCAATTATTGAAGTGATTGAAAATAATTCTGGTGAAATTGCACAGAAATTAACCTATGCCTTAAGCAATCTAAATATATCGGCTAACAGATGGGATATCAAGTTAATCCTCAGAAAACAGAATCTTTACTTTTCTCAAGAAAAAAGGAACAAATTAATCCTGATATACTGTTTGCAGGTGATTCAGTCAGCTCTGTCAAGATTCATAAACATTTAGGTTTAACTTTTAGTAGTGATGGTAAATGGTCTCACCATATCTCTAATATGTACAATAAAGCCTACAAGAGAATAAATATTTTGAGAATGCTTAAACACAAAGTAGACAGGAAAAGTCTAACAACTATATACACTTCCTTTATTAGACCAATTTTAGAGTATGGGGATGTCATCTGGGATAATTGTACAAATCGGGAAAAAAGCTTCTTAGAATCAGTTCAGTTAGAAGCACTTAGGATAATTACTGGGTTAAGAAGGGGGACATCTCATTATAAACTCTATGCAGAAACTGGAATTGAAACTCTTAGTACTAGGCGAAGCCAACATAAACTTCTTCTTATTTATAAAATTGTGGGAAATGAAACTACAAACTACTTACGTAATATTATTGAACCTTTTGTTTATACTAATGAGAATGTAAGATATCCTCTAAGAAATACTTGTTTATTCAATCCTCCTGTTTGTAGAACGGAAAGTTAGAGAAATAGTTATTTCCCATCAACTCTAAATGATTTTAATATGCTCCAACCTGACTTACTAAACATTAATTCAATACAGAAATTTAAGAAAGTTATACAGCCCAATGTAAATAATCAAACAGGTGCCATCAAAACTTT